GTACATGTTCAATGTCCAAAGTCTTTGCATTTACCAGACTGCTCCAGACTCAGTGGGGTGGGCAGGACCTGAATCTTGTCCTGTCCTTAGTACTTTTCTCTGTTCAAGCCTCAAGAGATTTCACTGTGGGCTTCAGAAAGGGGATGCTGATGAACCTGTGTTTGCAAAGACACCAATGGTGACACTCAGGCGTCTTGAAAGGATGCAGGACAAAGTCCAAGTTCAGGGCCCTTTGTATTTGTTCACAAGTACCCAGTCCTTACTCTTATTCATCTGAGAGAAGATATCAAGTCAAGGATCAAGCTGGGCTTGGGCTGGGGGGGAAACCTGTCCCTTTCTTAGCACAAGACATGTAGCCTTGGCTAAGGCCAAATTAAAAAAAAAAAAATCAAAACAAAACAACAAAACCCCCGAGGCCATGGAAGAAGCTAGCAGGAAAGGGGTTTTGAACAGTCTTGGAATCAAAAGTTTCCATTTCTCTGTCCTGAGACCAACAAGGATGGCTCCAACTAACAATCTAAGCAATAGTAGAGAGGCCACCTTAAATGGCCTTCCCCAATAATGAGATTGATGACTACCTTATTTGCCATCCTAGAGCCCTCATCCTGTAGCTGATGGAAGCAGAAGCAGACACCCACAGCTAAACACTGAGCCGAACTCCTGGAATCCAGTTGCAGAGAGAAAGAAGTGATGAGCAAAGGGGTCAAGACCAGGCTGGAGAAACCCACAGAAATAGCCTACCTGAACAAGGGGAGCTCGTGGACCCCAGACTGATGGCTAGGAAACCAACATAAGTCCGATCCAGACCCCCTGAACATGGGCTCAGTTAGGAGGCCAGGGAAGTCAATGGTACCTCTGACAATGGGACCAGGATGTATCCTAGTGCAGGAACTTTGGAAGCCCATTCCCATGGAGGGATACTCCCTTAGCCCAGAGACACAGAGGGGAGGGCCTAAGCCCTACCCAAATGACTCAACAGACTTTGATGATCCCTCATGGAAGGCCTCACCCTCTCTGGGGAGTGGATGGCAGATGGGATGGGGGTCTGTGGGAGGCATGGGAGGATGGGAGTGAGAGGGAACTGGGATCAATATGTAAAATAAGAAAATATATTAAATAAATAAATAAGTAAATAAAATATTCTATCTTCCAAATAGGAAAAAAAAAAGTTTTCCTTTCTCTATCCCATGGATTTGGGGTCCTCAAGTTCTCAAGAATTCTATACAGCAAGGAGACCATGGGGAAACTGACAAAGATTTCACTGGAAATTTGTACCCTACAGGGAATGGTGTCAAGTAGAACACAGCAAAGCTACACTCAGTCCCAGAATAATATTAAAAAGAGATCCCCATGCCTCTGGTCTTCTTCTAATGGGAGAGTTAAGTAATGTCCCAACTGAGACATGCTATGAGAAAAGCTTATTTTCTGGCTCCAGTCCTTTCTAAAAATGGGTATGTTATGGCTGGCCAAGGCATCTGTCCAAAATGAAAAGGTCACATCCAGAAATAAGGGGTCTTATTCTCCCAGAAGCTCAGGAATATAATACACACACACACACACACACACACACACACACACACACACACACACACCACACTCCCATAAATGAGTATAGGTTAGGGGCAACTAAGAGCCACTGAGGGGGTCCAAAGACAAAGTCCCACCCTTCCTACACCCATAGCCCGTAACCAATGGAGGGCAGCCACTCTGGGAGTGAAGAGTAGAAGACTACCTGGCCAGCCCACTTGACCTCAGAGAACAGCACTTGAACATATCACTGTCAATTATTTCTTCAGAAGGCATGTCACACAAAATACTAACTCCCAGTTCCTCCTATCCCCTCCCACCCCCATCTCACTTTCTGCCTATGCACTTGATTCTATGAACCACATCCAGAACCTCACCTAATACCTCTTATAGTATTTGTTCTTTTATATCTCAACTTAGCAAAAGGCCCTCACACATCTTGAAGGATGTGTCAGTATTTTCTTCATGTATGCCTCCAAGTAATATTCCATGTCCATACTGATGTGTTCATGCAGCTTGGACTACTTTTCTCTTTTGTCTATGGTGAATGACAAGATTCTGAGCAAGATGTACAGACACTATTCACCCAAAGGCTTTGGTTAAACATTTGCCCTGTAGATGGACTAACAGGAATGCATTTCGCCTACCCACTTTCTAAAGCTGCTATTTTGGCAATATGAAGACCTTGGAAGCTGGACTGCTGCAATGTCTGCACTTCTATCCATCTTCAGCTGCCAGGTCAGCCCTTGATACTACTCCATTGCCCCTCAGACTTGGCAGTTTCAGAAAATAACAAATACAAGTTTGCCCACCTCCCCAGAAGTATACTGTTTACCTGTCACAGAAACAGTGCTAGCTGTTAGAACAGGCACTTCTCAACAAGGTATCAGTAAGGTTGGGCCCTCTACTCCATATGTCTTGATTTCTACCCTGTAAAAGTGGCCACAGGCTCATCTACCTCTGCATGAACTATGCTAGCTTCTATGTTCCAATGCCTGCCATGGGCTTCAGTTCCTTCTGCTACTGTAGTATCTTCCAGAGACTTCTCTGGATTCACCAAGGACATGTGACTTCTGTACTAGCAAGAGTTGTGGGGAAGTGGCCTTCCTTGGGCTGATGACATAGAACCACAGTAATAAATGTGGGAATATCTGGCCAATTTTAAACAGAGTATCTTGGACCCACATAGTTCTCTCCAACCTGGCATCTTGAGTGTTCACTTAATGCATCTGTCACTCATGTCTATGAGAAAAGAAAGCAAGATATTTATCCAACCAAGCAGAGTAATAAATAAGTCTGATTCTAAAAAACCCTGACCCTAATGACAGCCAAGCAAGAGGGATACCACAAGCCTGGCTTGTTCAGAGCCTGATCAGTGACAGCTAAGGAAACAAAGCTGTAATCAATCACAGGAATCTGAAGTTCCATGAAAAGAAATCTTGGTACTAAAGTATGCATAGTAAGTTGACAGGAGTTAATACATACAAACAATCCTTGCTGTGAAGGTGACAAGGGTGTGTGGGGGTGAGGGATGGTAGCACTCTCCTCTCAACTTGAAATACCCTCCAAGTTGTCTGGTAAACGTGCCCTATACATTTAACTTGAAAATAAAATGAGTATAGATCTACAAATGCTGGTCTTCCGCATGCAGGGGTGAAGAATACACAGACGGCTGGGAAGGAAGAAACTGGCCTAACTTCAGGATGGTCACCACTGTGGGCAGAAAGCAAGCATAGAGGACAGGACTTTTGTCAATGTCGCAGCCTAAAAAGTATCTTCTCATCACACAGACACTTGCATACCAATGTTTCTACAGCAGTATTCACTTTAGCCAAGTCATGAAACCAACTTAGACATCCAACAACATAGGAATTCGTAAAGAAAATGTGGATTAGATACATATGAAATTCCTTTCAATCATCGAGAAGAATGAAGCCAAATCATTTATAGGGAAATGGATACAAATGGAGAGAATCTCATTAAGCCAGACTCAGAACAAGTATTGCCTGTTTTCTCTAATTTGTGGTTTATAGACATTATATAAATACATAGTCACATATGTATAATGTGACATACAAGCATAAGCCAAACTGTTAAGAAAACAGTGGGGTTACCAAGGCAGCAGGCATGGAGGAGAGGCCTATTTACATTTTCTTTGTCTTAATTTTGCTTTATTTATATGTGTGTAGATATCCTTGGATGCCAGAAGAGGTGTTAGAGTTACAGGTTGCTCAATGTGGGTGCTAAGAATCAAACTGTGGTCCTCTGCCAAAGCAGCAAGCACTCTCAACTGCTGAGCCATCTCTCTAGCCCAAATCTATATTCTTTTTATGTATACAGAAGTACATTTTGCAGAGTTGTAATGAATGGCACTGACAGGGTCCCTTTTCTCATCTGATGGTCATGGGAACCATAGAGGCAGGGATGTCCTACTACCCATGTGGGCAGGGTCTTTGGGTTTGGAAGATAAGTTGAACAGTAGGCAAATAAGCCATGTTTAATATGGGGTACACATTTAGGATATAAAATGCATAGTATTAACAATCATAACAATCATTCATAATAAGGCAGTAAATACAAGATGGTAATGTGAATACAGCAGGCCAAAGTTCATCTTTGATTTTTGGTAGTTCTTAGACTATTGAGGTCTCCTTTGACTTTCTGATCAGTCTCATGTGTGCATCTGGCTTGTAAACTCTGAGCAACAGAACTAATTATATACCAAATCTAACTGGTTCATAAACTGCCTCGCATGGATGACTTCACATAAATACACACACCAGTTTTACTGACAGGCCACAGAATTCGGCCTTTTAGACTATGTACTCAAATGCTTTCAACATTTTGTAGGTGGTCAGCCATCACCCTCTGCCTCCAGTGCTTACCAGGCCCCTCCCCACCGAGGTCCTGTCATCTCTAGCTTGGTCCTATTAGCTGGCTTATCTGTTGTGGGTATTTCAGATAATTGGAATCACACAACATAGGGCTGCGTGTAGCATGATGCTTGTTGTTTTTTGAGACAAGGTCTTGTGTAGCCCAGTTTGGCTTGGAACTTACTATGTAGGTGAGGATGACCTTGAACTTCTGATCTTTCTGCTCCTAACTTCTGAGTATTAAGATTGCAGGCATGTACCACCATACCTAATTTATATGCTAGGGGTCAAAAGCAGGGTTTCATGCATGCTAGGCAATCATGCTCCCTGTTGAGCTACATCTCAAGCCCCCCAATAACATGTTTTTCCAGGCTCACTGATGGTATGCACACATGTGTTTGTGTTTCTATTTCATTACTGAATGATCTTCTTTTATGTGTAGACTTTTTCTTTTTTTAATCCCTTTATCCAATGATAGGACCATTTCATCCCCAGAATAATGGTTCTATATTTTCAATAATTCCAAAACAAAGCTTAGCTCCAGCTTGGCATTCACTCAGCATGCAGGGAAAGACAGCACAGTTCACACACCCAGCTCACCTTTTCCTGGGTTGACCTGACCACACTGGAGACTTCTCCAACTGTCAGCTGCAAGGATTTCGCCTGTGGGTTCTGCTGGAACGAGAGATGCAGTGGGCCCTAGAAGAGAGAGGCTGTGTGAGAAGAAATGCATAAATGTAGCCTGGGTTTTGTCTATTTTTAAGTACAAACTTGCTACAAAATTAAAAATTAAAAGCAAAACAAAACATATAACAGAGCGTCCTAGAAGTGGTTAAATATCAATAGGTTTACACTATCCAAAGCCAGTCAAATGTTGGACTTGTTCAGCACCTGACAAGCAGGACCTTGTGAGGAGGGAAGAATGGAGAGGGCCACTGACTCGGAGATGAAGTGATGAAGCATCATGCTGAGCCCTAAGATTCAGGATGGAAGAGAAGTGAAGCCTTAGGGCAGACTGTGGGTGCAACTTGCCCTCTCAGCTATGTCTTCTCCTTACTAAGTAAGTGTTCTTCTCTGGATGGAGGGAATACCTCTCCTGCTATATGAGGCTGTAGGTGCACTGCTACTTGAGGAGCCATCTCCTCCTCCTCTTACACTGCTGGGCAGAAACCCAGGACCTGGCATCTGTCTGGGATGTGAAATGACACAGAAGACTGCTGGCTGGACAGGAGCCTGTCTGGTGTCTGTGTCCTTAGTCTTTGTCTCACAGTCCTTTAGGGCTGCCTGGCTCCCCAGTGACTGGAGCTCCATGCAGTCTCTAGGGAATGCTGTGCCTCTCTTGTTTTTTATTTACTTATTTATTTTTCTTCTTTATTTTTTTGGTGTGCATGTTTATTGTGTGTCTCTAGGGAATACTGTGCCTCTCTTGTTTTTTATTTATTTATTTATTTTTCTTTATTTTTTGGTGTGCATGTTTATTATGTGTATATGTAAACGTCTGTGTTTGTGAATGCATGCATATGCTTATCACAATCCAAATATAGAGGTCAGAGGCAAATCTTGGGTGTCAGTCCTCACCTTCGTTCTTCCTCATTTGAGACAGTCAACATGCACCAGACTAGTTGACAATGAACTTCCAGACAGTTTCCTCTTATCTCACCATATGAGCTCTAAGATGATAAAGACACATGCTACCACACATGATCTTTACATGGGTTCTCAGGATTCAAACTCATGCTTGTGAGGCAAGTGGTTTACCCACTGAGCTAACCCTCTCTTTTTCTGGTGTGGAGGAGTCTTGAAAGTTAAAAATTCCCAAGTGAGGGCTAGGGATATAGCTCAGCTGGCAAAGTTCTTACCTAGTATACATGAAGCTTCATATTCTATTGGCATGGTGCTACATCTCTGAGATCCTAGCACAAGAGAGGTGGAGGCAGAAAAATCTGAAGTTCAAGGCCATTCTTGGCTACATACTGAGTTTGATGGCAGCCTGGGCTACATGAGACCCTGTTTTTGTTTTCTTTTTGTTTGTTTTTTTAAATCTCCAAATGACATATATGTGCTTATACAAATACACACACACACACACACATATATATATGTATACATATATCAATGTAACCATAAGGCAGTAAAATTGATAGTTTATAAAAGTAAATACGGGCTTAGACAGCAACCCAAAGACTGTCCTCTTAAAATAAGTTCTCTGGAAAGTCCCAGCTTACATACCAATTTGAAACTTTCTTTAACTTTCCCTGCCAAATAGCCTTTCCTGTCTAAAGTTCTGACTGGGTGGCAAGAAGCTGCTGCCCTATATGTGTCCTGTAAGACAGAACCCCATGACAGTGAGCTAGTCACCTACATGGGTAACAAACAGGAGACAGAACTGGCAATGTAATGGGACCAGAGGTGCTCAGGCAGGCCTAGTGCAGAAAAGCAGTGGCATAACTCCCTCCCTATTTCTTAAGAGTTCTAAGAGATAAAAGTCAAGTATAAAATACATAGCTCATTTTTATTTAGGATTTAGAACCTTACCCTGTGCTAACAGCACCTACCTCACTCCTTAAACATAATGAAAGGTGGTAAAATCTACATTGATGGAGAGATAAAGTCACCATCTCCTGGCTCTACTGGCTGAGTCTGGGGCAGGAACTGGCTAAGAACCCTATGAACTTGCTAAAGCCACTGTACTGTGAGCTGACCTTGTGGCACAGAGGTCAGTGCCAGGCAGGTTCCATCAGCAGAGTGCCCAAATGCTGAGGTAAGCCAACAGGACAGGGCACCCCAGAGAAGCCTAGAAGCACAGGCTCCCTTCCTTCCACCCGGACACAGCAGGGTAGGTAGGGTAGACATTCCTTCTTGTGGTGCCTCCTGAGCAAAACCTTACACCTTTAATGTCAAGGTATGCTCTTATAGCAGACATACATTGTAAGTTAAAATAAGGATGGGGAGCCTACTTTTCTACTTCTAAACTACCTGCCTCTGTGGGTTCAGGAGTAGGGTGAGCCCATAGCTTTCAACCAATTCCTGCATTGCTGACATTCTGCCCAAAGCTAGCAATAACAGTCCATAGTCACCTTCCCTGACTAAAAGACTCTGAACACACATGAGAACACACATGTAGGAACTGCCAGAAAAACACATATTTATACACATACTCTTACAAACACATATATACATGCAACAAACAAACAAACAAAAACCCCCGAGAAGTGAGTGGGTATCCCTCTGTGACTAAAACTGTAACTCTGAGCAATGAGTGGAAAAATCCAGACCAGGCTGATTAAAGTAGAAATTCAGCTATAGGTCCACAAGCAAGAAACTCTACACCATGAAGCTTTGTTTCAAGCACAGGTCTGTTTAAAATCTGTATCAGATTACCTTTAGTGTATGCTGGCCCAGAAACCTTAAGGTGCACATGAAAAGAAGTTCATATTCTGGCCCAGGTCCCATCCCTGAGGTATCTAACTATGCATATGCAAATATTTCAGAATCAGACATCAAGAACACTTCTAGTCCAAGAATTTCAGATAGGGATGTTGCTTATGGCAACAGTAACATCCCAAGGCACTGGGGGCGGGCGGGGCTAATTTTAATGTTTAGTGCACTTGTAGAAGTCCTCCTATGTGAGTTCCAAGGGTTGAACTCTGAGCATCATGTTTGGCTGTTGTAAGCATCTTCACCCCCTGAGTCTTCTCTCTAGCTTGATTTTTTTCCTTAGTATTTTACTTTCTTTTATAAATTTAAATTATTTATATTTGTTACGTATGAGTGCCAGAAATGGGCATCAGATCCTATTACAGATGGTTGTGAGCCACCATGTGGTTGGTGGGAATTGAACTCAAGATCTCTAGAAGAGTAGCCAGAGCTCTTAACCTCTGAGCCATCTCTCCCAGTCCCAATATTTTACTTTCTTATATAATTATTTAGTGTAGAAGAGGGCATGTGCATGCCTCAGCATGCATGTGGAGGTCAGAGAACAATTTGAAAGGGTTAATTCTCTTCCCCCAAGTAGGTTCTAGTGATTGAATTCCAGTCATCAGGCTTAGCTACAAGCGCCTTTAAACCAAGATGTGGAAGAAACTAGATAGAAAAACAAACACTCACAAGGAAGCCTGACATATGAACTATATAACCACTCAAAGTAGGTAGGAGGATGAATATTAAGAACATTTAGAAGATCATCTTGACTGTGCACAGAGTCTGTAATCCAGCACGTGTGTTTCTACAGGTTTAGCAATGTGTGGGTTAGGAATATGATCAAATAACAGACCAAGAAAAAAAAACTTAATATGAAGAAGAGTCTGATGTCTCAGTCAGAAAAGCACTTGCTGTGCAAACTGAGCACCTGAATTGCATCCCTAATGCCTAAACCAAACAGTCAGGTGTGTTAATGCTTGTTTCCAAACCAGTAGGGGGACATTTGGTCGGCAGACACAGGCTCACAGGGTTATAGGCCAATGAGAGATCCTGTCTCAAAAAAACAAGGTAGATAGCACCTGAGGAGTGACAGCTGAAATTTTCCTTCGACACACACAAACATACACGTGAGGATGGGGGACACGTGCATACACACAACAGAAGAGAGAAGAATAAGAAGAACCCTACTTTTGAACTAAAAAGCAGAGTATTGATATAGCTTAGAAACCAAATATTGACAGACATGAAAACACACTTTTCATGGCCACAGCCACACTGAAGCTCTGTCCACTGAAAGGGTCTAGACTATTGAGTGCTGAGCAGTGGTGTGTATGCCCAAACCCTACATCCTCAACGCTAAATTCTTTCCCAATAAATGGAATTGAAGTTTCTCAGAGAAATGACTTGATCCAGGGTCAGAGGAGGAAAACTACAAGGTGAGCAAAATACACACACACACATAAACATGTGTATGCACATATACAAACACATGCATGCACATATACAAAAACATGCATGCACACACAGACACATGGACCACAAACACACACATACACACATACATGCACACACACACACACACACACACAGCCTTGTGGGACTATAAAGCAAGAAAAAAACACAAGTGTGGACTGACAAAGAACACAGCTGGCTAAAGAAACACACAGCAGCAATTTAGGCATCAAAGTAATAGTAATGGTACAGGGTTAGGACCCACAGGATAATTTAAAGAACAAACAAAACACAAGCCCACACTGATGTACACAACCAGCTAAGTATACTTGTAGGAGTATCTCAGCAGAGATCCGGTTAATAACATAAAGGAGGAAATAGCAAATCACCATTAAGGAAACTCCATGTAGTTAATTGTGGCTGGTGAGCCACACCGAGGGACACTAAATTGAGAGCAGAAACATCCACCAATGCATCTCCCAAGACATAATAACTACATCCACATGTGGAGACAAGGCATAAAACCATCTCACAGGACCCACATTTCCAGCAGCAAGTTACACCAATACCATGAAACCCTCAATACTGAACAGTTACGGGGTACTGTTTCTGTATGTACAGCCTCAACTTAACAGCCAGAAAAGCAGACACTCAGCTAACTAACAATCAACATCACTCCATTTTATCAAGTTCACAAATAACGAGACAGAATGGTAAACCATTACAGACTGTGGGAGACTAAGAAGTACCAACTAAGGGTCATAGGAGACCCGTGGGTGCCTTAAGCACTAACATGGTGTACAGAGGAAGCTGCTAAGATTAAGGAA